CCCACCCTGACCCCCACGTCGCCGAACGCGCCCGGGGAAGGACCCCCAGCCCTTGCTCATGGGCGTGCACCACCAGCACCGTGCACGTCACCCCCAGCCCTCAGCGGAAAACAAGCCCGAAACAGGACAAGTTTGTGCCGGAGCCCATTTCTCAGGGCTGGGGACGCACCGTTACTCACCCAGCTCACAGGCCAGCCCCGTCCACCCCTCGGGGCAAGCACAGAGCCCTGTGACGGGGTCACACGTGCCACCGTTTTGGCAGAGGCAGCGCTGGCGGCAGCTCTTCCCATAGAAACCCACCGGGCACGCTGCGGGAAAAACCAGGCCAAACATCCCAGTCAGAAAACAGCTGCGAAGGCAAACATCATGCCTTTGGTAGCCTGCCTGGATGACCTGATATAAAATGAAATCATTATTGCTTGCATGAGAAAAACCAATGACACCCTGAGGCTGTTTAGCTGCCCGCATAAAGACATTTGGTACTTTAACTTGCGCAGGTAAGAGGCAGTGATGACACAGGGCACTGGGTGCCTGATCTCTTTAGAGCTTGCTTAGCTCTGGTGGTGGCAAATACACAAAAGTAAAAAGGCTGGGTGAGTTCAGCAGCCAGGAGAGACGCCCAGGTGGTAGCCAACGCCTTCGGTCCTGAGCTGCAGAACATCCTCCTCTCCTAGACCCAGACAGTGCCAGTGCTTGGCAGAGACAAAAAGCCATTTAACCACATGAATAATTGTTCTCATGTGCACAGTTTCACTGAGCTGTGCCTAAAGGCATCGCTGACTTGGTGTCTGAATGCTCAGTGTGGTGGACGATCGAGCTGTTACTCTACGTGCTGCTATGAAACTGCAGGTCAGTGCAATTTCTGGTGCTCTTGGAGAAGGAAACCTCTCGGCTTCGCTCTTTGTGAATGAATCGGGAAGCACAGCTAATTAGACTCTTAGTTGCAGGCTGGCCTTGCTATCCTCCTGTCTCAGCTTTTTGTAGTTGCTACTCCAGTGAAAATTCCAACCACCCTGAGAAACAGCATCTTTAACGGCTGCTGGCAGAGGAAGCAGACAGTCTGGGTTAGGAAGCAGCCACCAGGTCTGTTACCTTGCTGGCACGTGGGTCCCGTCCACCCGGCTCCGCAGAGACATCGGCCACTGACGTGGTCGCAGGTAGCGTTATTGAAACAGTTGCACGTCTGGCTGCAGTTCTCGCCGTACCTGTTCTCCTGGCATGCTTCACGGGAGCAGAAGCAGGCAGAACTGTTAGGCAGCAGGTATGAATTGCATCGTCATTGCCAGACTCCTGCTAACCATCCCAAATGCACTTGTCTGGGAGAGGAACCAAGACTGGTGCGTGGCTGCTTTGGACATCTGTGTAAGCTGTTTTTTTATGGTGCTGTGGGCTAATAACAGCTGTATTCTACCGGTGGCTGACAACCAAACATGGACACTGTTGTTACTGTCAATGTTACACCATTTTATCTATTTGGAAACTTTTGCTGGATGCCCAAGCCCTTGTTACATTCAACAATGCACTCAGTCACACCGCCCCCCCACCCCCAGACGCTCTCCAAAACTAAAAACTTCTCTGCCACACAAAATTAACTTCCACACAGAGAAAAATCACACGTGGGGAACAGACACCAAAAACTCCGGGTTCTACGACCTAGCAGACAAGAGACAGTTGGGGGTCCCACATGTCTCGTGGAGGGATGCTCCCGCCTGGCTCCATCCTGTCCCCGCCGCAGAGGGTGGGTGCCAGGCTGCAGTGACACCTACCCTGGGCACAGCGGGGACCGGCCCAGCCGGGGGGACAGTGGCACTGGCCTGTTGCGTGGTCACAGTGCGCACCATTCAGGCAGTCACAGGCTTGCCGGCACTCCAGTCCATAAAATCCATCAGGACAGGCTGTGGAAAACAAAAGGTACATCCCTACAAAATGCCTATACAGAGAGCTGGAAATCTCCCAGCGGAGAAGCGATGCCTCTTGGTGGCCGTTTTTGCCAATATAGTGCTGCACCAGTGTGACAGCCACCTGCTCATGGCTCTCCCCCTGCCAGGGCAGCAGAATATTGGATACCTGTCCATTATAGACACTCACGGTACAGGACAAAGATGCGGTGCATCAGAAGAGCAATGGCATTAGGCTTCTGACCACCAAGAGACCGAGCAGGCTGGTGAGGGACCCAGAACCCCGCACCCAGGGACCCCTTAGGAGAGGCCGCTCCAAGCCCCTGTGTGCAATGTGTGTACACACGTGGGCGACCAAGGCAGCTCTGCATTTATTCCTTGTTTACATTTTGTTAGTCTTTTTTTTTTTTCCCCTAGACCTTTTCCCTTCAGAATTAAAACCAGAGACTTAGCAGCTTCTGGACGCGCAGTTTTCCCAGGCACCATCCCGAGAGATTCTCTTTGCTGTAACGGGACAGCAAAGTCAGACAAGAAGTGCAGACCCTGCCGGCAAGGAGACCGTGGTCCGTGGGAGCTGGTGACCACGCTGGGTCCCCGGGCACAGGTACTTACCGTGCTCACAGAAGGTTCCTCGCCAGCCCGGGCTGCAAGTACAGGCACCGCTGACGTGGTCACAGGCAGCCCCGTTGGCACACTGACACCGGTGCCGACAGCTCAGCCCAAACCATCCTTCCGGGCACTCTAGCAAGCAGAAGCAAATGAGATTGAGGAGCCTGTCCTTTCCTGGTGTCCCCAGGGAAGCTATTCTAAGGCAGGAACTCAGGGTCTGAATGGAAATAAAAGTATCTGGCAGCTGCTTTTTATAACGACCAGTGGGCTCTACCCTACCCCTTACCGATGTGTACCCGTGTTACCCAGCCACCCTCAGGACGGGACTGGACTGGCAATGTCACACACAGGGCACGGGGACTGAATTTCTGTCACTGAACCAAGAAGCACCAAGAACCAAATCTGCACTGCAGCTTCCTCCACTACCTTTACAGGGAGAAGGTCTTTACAGGGAAACGGTCTCAAGTTGTGCCAGGGGAGGTTCGGGCTGGATATTAGAAAGAACTTCTTCATTGTAAGAGTCGTTAGGCATTGGAACGGGCTCCCCAGGGAGGTGGTGGAGTCATCGTCCCTGGAGGTGTTCGAAAAACGTTTAGATGTGGTGCTTCAAGACATGGTTTAGTGGGCATGATGGCATTGGGTATATGGTTGGACTTGATGATCTTTGAGGTCTCTTCCAACCATAATGATTCTATGATTCTAAGGCAGAAGCCTCCTGGCCTGTCTGTCCGACGCCTTTTCCCTGGAAAACAAATCTGTATTGTTTGGCTGGGCTTAAAGGCGAGCAGGGCAGCCCGCTGGCAGCACTCACTCTTTTCGCAGTGGCCGCCCGTGTAGCCGGCTTCGCAGACACACTGCCCTGTCTCCGCGCTGCAGCTCCCGTCGCTGTTGCTGCAGTTGCAGGTGTGAGCACAGTCGGGACCCCAGCGCCCTGCGTCGCAGGCTGAAACACAGGAGGGGACGGACCCTTAATGGCCGGCACTCCACTTGCCCAGCTTCTCCGCTGAGCAAAGGCGTGGGCACAGCACTGCCTTCCCCTCGGGGTGTTATTTCCATTGATTACAACTGCTCGCTTGGGCAGAAGGACGAACGTGGCTGTAGGTCCTCAGAAAACCCGGTGGGACAGTGAGAGCGGGTGCTACATTTGCACATATTTGATGTGAACTGATTCTTGCAAGCAAGCCTGCTACAGAAAGGCAAGCGGCACTGGCAGGACAGAGTGGAAAAACCTAAAAGATTTGAGAGATTTTTCTGGCAGAGGCAAAGCACGAAGATGACAATGAAGCAAATGACAGTGCAGTCTTCTAGGAGCGATGGATAATAAGCAGGGGTTACAATACCTCGCTGGCAGTTGTACCCCGTCCAGCCAGGTGCGCAGCTGCACGTCCCCGTCACAGGATGGCAATGTCCATCGTTCCCACAGCTGCAGCTCAGCTGGCAGTCTGGGCCAAACCAGCCAGGCGGACACACTGCCAACGTAGACACGGACTAACTGCAGACGGCTGCTGTAAACACCGCAGCAAGGGCTTCCCTCCCGACAGACCCGACGGGGACCCCAGTGGGTTTCTGCAGAGCTGCCACCAGCACCAACGCTCCTCGCTCGAGTCTGGGTGCTCAGCTCTGGGCTGAATGGGACGAGGGGCTTAGGGTTTCACCTCCCTTTCTGCTAATGCAAAAGTTACCTGGAGCAGGTACTCCAGGTCAAGCTAAATAACCTCATTCCAGCTGGAGACAGCCATTCAGGCGGGAGGGACCCGACGGCAGACATCACTCACCATCCTGGCAGCGACGGCCGGTGTAGCCGGGGGGACACAGGCAGGCTCCCGTGGCGGGATCGCAGGTGGCGTTGTTCGTACACTCGGGACATATCTCCTGGCAGCCCTGTCCCCAGCGACCGTCAGGGCAAGCTGGAGTATGGGCAGAGAGAGACACACACAAGCATTGGGATCACAGCCGGGGTGTAAGAGGGAAACGGCGATTTTCTGGTGCACGGCAACGGGTTCATGTCCACGCTTCATGCAAAACGTGGACTTTTGTTTCGCAATGCGTGGCTACTAGCTAGGACAACGTTGCTTTGTTTGTTTTATAAACAGCGTGTGAGCCCTGGTAAGTGCTATTCTGGTCTCACTCCAGTACTTTCATGTCATTTTTGGATTCGCATCCACTTGTGGGGAGCTACAAGGGCTCCTTGCTAGGAAATGGTGTTGCTGGCAAAGGGTCTTCGCAGCTGCTGTCACACTATTGGACAGCATTCCCTTTGCAAAAGGCTAAGAACTGATAAAACTGGGGCAAGAAGCCTTGCTTAACTGCTCCTAAGCTGCTCCAGGGCCTGGAAAAATGTCAGGTCAAAATGTATGGTAAGCACTGTGCATGTGTGGTTTTATTGCTCAGTCAAACTATTAGGAGCAGGACATCTATATATGACTAATATCTTCCAGCTGCTGTAATATTGTATAACCATGTAAAATGTTTTAATTTAGGATTCGCAGTTTTCCAGTAGTTAAAGAGTAGTATGGTGAAGGCAATTAAAAATACACGTGAGTAAAGAAGGACTCCTTTCCTATGTTAAGGGCTGCAACAACTGAAAGTATCTTCATCTTTTTACTGCATATGTTTACTTGTACTTCACTCAGCTTTGACAACAGAGCCAAGCTAGCTGAGGCTATTGTTTAAGGCTTACCATCAAAAGCTGCATTTTTTCCTAATTTTCCATGAAGATGATTCTAATTGCACTAGATGTTTTTAAAACTAATTTTAGCAAAAGAAAAAGAACAGCTATACGCCTAGATCCCCATCCTCCTGTTGCCTCCTCACCTTGGCCGCAGTCATGTCCCGTCCAGCCCGGCAGGCAGAGGCACTGCCCCGTGGTCCGGTCGCAGGGTGCTCCCCGGCAGGAGCAGGACTGCCGGCAGCCCGCCCCAAACGTCCCCTCTGGACACTCTGCATCGAAAACAGCAGTGTGAAAACTCTTCCCTCCTGAGATGCTTTTCCCAAGAGTATATTACCGTCCAGACATCACACACTGAAGGAGGCTCCAGCTCTGTGAGGCAAAGCCCCGCTGTGAAAGGTTCCCATGACCCACGCTCATGGGCCTGGATGTGACCGCTCTGTTAGCCACACTAGTCACCTGTAACCTCTAGCATTTCACACCACTGCCTTGCTTTGTCTCTTTGAGAATCGCTTCTCTGTTGTTGCTTGGTCTTTCAACAAGCATTTCGTCATACAAGAGCGACTGATGACGCACCCGACAGCTGAGGTCTCTGATCTGTGAGCACGATTCTGCAAAATAACCCACTCCCTCGCCACTGCAGCCCTGCAGGGCTGTGCCCTGGGCCGTACTGCAGCACCGCTGCAGGCACCGACAGCAAGGCAAGTGGGTCAGGAAAGATGTGCTTTTGCCCTGCCTCCGAAACACACGTGCTCATGCCACGGGCAGGGATCCGAGACACCCTGCTCTCTCTGTGCTGGCGTGCAGAACACCGGGTTCACAGCCCCCAAACCCGTACCATCCCTTGACTTTTATAAGATGCTGTGAGGGCTTTTTATTGCCCTGGCTGAATGCCTCCGGAATCTGGAAGCCAGGCTTTTAAGGAGCAGCAAGGTTTGCAGCAGGTACATTGATGTAAAGCAATAAAGAAGGAGCATCCCCAACCGCAGGAGGAGTAAGCGCGTTTCCTTCCCTCTGCTCTGAATGCCAGGCTGGTACTGCTGATACCAGAAAGCTTGGTTTGCTCTTTGTACCCCGTGACACAATTTAGCAGCCAGATAATTACATGCAGACTGAGGGCCTCAGATCCAAAGATCCCTAAATCCTATTTGAGTCTCCTAGAACAGCTCCATCCTCGCAGTCTTTTTTGTTCACTGAAGCCAGTGTTTCATACGGCTTCAGCAGATGCAAACACACCAGCAATCACAAATCACGGAGGAAAAGCACACCAGCGCATAGATTTCAAGGGCCACAGTGGAGTTTTTGTTATTCCTCCTATTTGCTAATTGATGGCAGATGTTTGTCTTCACCCTTTAATAATTTCCAGATCCGAACAACAGCCAAGCGCCTACTATTTCTATACAAATATTTGTGTTATTTCCTGTGACTCCCCCCTACAGGCTTAAGCTCCTTTCTTATTCTTTTTAAAAATATCCCGACCGAAAGCACCCAGCCCACCGAGGCACCACGTGGCTCTGGAGGGCTGCCGGGACCCCTGCGAGGGAGCACGAGCCCTGCAAAAGCTGCTCGCATCGCTTCTCCTAATGTTACTTAGCTCTGTTAGCACTTGCTTGCATCAAAACTTCTTGTGACCATCTGCAGTTTTTGTTCTGATCACCAGATCAGTTGTAGTGTTATGCAAGATAATCATGTGCTAGCAGCTTAATTAGGTTAATAGTTATAACTTCGGGGTTGGGTGTGGATGTGGGTGCTTGGTTAAACATAAGTCAGTGCAGAAACTCCCAGGATGCTTGAATCAAAATTCAGATGCTGACCACAGCAAGACTCTTAATGCAGCGCGTCTTCTCTTAATGCAGTCTGTCTTCAAGTGAGGACTTCAGTTGTCCAATTTTTTGCATTTTCTGTTGGAGCCAACCGGTTGAAGTGTGATCCAGAAGGAGACAACCTCACAAGAGGAGGAGGTTCGCTTTTCAATCGTTGAACAGCTCTGAGGCTGGCAGAAGTAATTTTCCAAGAACTGTGTTCATGATTTGTAATCATCACCTCGTGCCAATGACTCACTGCCTTCAGGTTCACTCAAAACACCTTTGTTCGAAGAAAGTCAAGCGCTCTGACACCCCAGCTATCTCCCAGGATCTTGAAAAGCTGTGCCCTCAGAGCATGAGTATTACACCGCACGCACAGAGCTGTGCAGTTCAGTCACCATACTGTCAACTGGCCCTTTATGTGAAGAGCAGAAAACTGCTCTAGGAGGTGCCTACAGAGGCAGAAGTTTAAATCCTAATGTAAACGAAACATAAAATTTTCATTTCCACTTGCAGATCAAATACAGTTTCAATATGGAATAGAGAATGGAGCGGAAAATACGGTACCCTGCTGCTGGGCACTGATTGCCTGGACGTAAAAGGACACCAAGGGCAGGGAAAGATAACTAGGTATCTATCACCTTCATCTACAAAAGCAGAGCTGCCCAAGTGGCAGGATAAAGTGAGACCCTGTTCTCCTTTTCGGAATAAGACTCATTATGCATGAGAAATCCTGCTTGCCCACTTTAAAGAAATGGCAGCGTTTTACAAAGACCTGCAAATGGCAGCTCTTGCATCCTTTAAAGTCGTTCCAACTTTCCACTCCTTAGATCAACTGCAGTGGGCTAGGGGGTCTGAGAGAGCACAGGAGGAATTCTGGAACTCCTTTCATGCCATTTTGTGAAGAACAAGTTTGTAAGTGTGAGGAATCATGAGGTTACAGCACACTTAGAGTTGCCTGGCATGGCCCTGGCCTTACCTTGCTGGCAGCTCTCCCCATGGTACCCTCGGGGACACTCTGTCCAGCACTCCCCGGTGACATGGTCGCAGGACACTTCTGCAGAGCAGCTACATTTCTTCTTGCAGCCATCCCCGTAATAGCCAGGGTCACAGTCTGTTAGCAATCATAATTAAAAAGGAAGAACAGTCAGCATTACTTGTAGAGCGGGCAGCCGCAGCTCGCAGCGATGGGCCCTGACCAGCACCCTCCTGAGCTGGGCACTGTAGGCTGGATGAGGTCCACCATCCGCATTTACAGGACCTGCATGCTAACTTAACGCAAATGAGTCTGACAGCAAGTTTTGGTCTTAATCTAAACAACAAGAGTCAAGACAGTCTCAGGAGGGTGGAATGTAAGCTGAGCTTCCCCCCCCTACCCTGAAAATTAGCTAGGGGAAAAGAGGTTGTGGGAGGAGAAAGGGGGATGCTCCATGAACACTTCTTGGCAACTCACTCATCTCACAGCGCTTGCCGCGATAGCCAGGTTTGCATCGGCAGGGGCCGGCCCCCTTGCTTCCCTCTTGTCACAGTCCTGCGTGTTCTGCTGCACACAGCGGCATTCTTCGGAGCAGCCGGGGCCAAACGCCCACTTTGGGCAAACTGGATGCAGAAGAAAAGAGTTGGTCAGTGACCCGTGAGGCCGAATAATGCAGGGCAAGGGACAGAAACTTTGCCACCCAGTGCTGGCCCTTCCCAGGGATGGTATTTAGAAAGGCTGTAATCTGAGAATAATATATATCTCGTAAAAAAGATGAGGACAAGCATACCTAAATGGCAGTACCGTCCATATAAGCCAGGATCGCACAGACAGGCTCCGTAAATCCGATGGCAACGACCCCGGTTGGCACAGTTGCACTTTTTTCTGCATTGTTTCCCAAAAAATCCTTTAGGGCATCCTAGTGATAGAGAGACATTTTCTGGGAAGATGAGCCAATTTCAGACTGTCATTTTATTTCTGGCAGATGACAGGAAAAACAAAGCTATATGACATGAAAAATGAACTTGGGCAAAGGATGCAGTGAGCGTTGACAAGAAGGCTGACTTGTTTTCTGAGCAGGAGTGTGCTTGTGTCTCTATGCAATAAGGTAATGATAAAAGCGATCAGATTCCCTGTATTGGCTCAAAATCAGATTGGTTCAGCGGTCGGCACTCCTGTCCTCGCACGGGGTGTCAGGGGGCATTTCACTTGCTGCTGCTCTCCAACCATACGAGGTGCCTCGAGGGCACTCATCGGCTCTGCACCTCGCTTGAAACGGTAACAACGCTGGCCGTGCGAGAAATGTGCCCTGCAGGGCTCTGAGAAGTCAAGTTTTTCATACGTGAGAAAGTAATCCATGAGGCTGTTCCTATTGATAAACACCACTATTGAGGGATATGATATTCGCACTATTAAGGGAATAAATTTATCGTTCTTTCTCTGTTATGCTAGAGATCTTAATATTAGAAGCACATGGCAGACAGATTGTGTCAGCAGAAAGCTCTGGCCATCATCTGTCCAGGCAGCACGTGCCTTCTCCCGTACGGTAAGAACAGCAGACAGTTTAAGCAGAGGAAATGCCACCCTGGGACAACAGATCAGTTCTTCATTGTTTATTTTAATCTTACTTTCCTGTTTTTCCTCTGTACCCCTCAATCACCTCCTTCCTAACAGAAAGAAAAGGTTGGGGTATCTCTTGCATTCATTTACATTCTGCTTCGGTCTCCTCCTTTAGTAATAGTTCCCAGATGCTCCTAACCATTTGTCTGAAGTCATTTTGTCTGAATCTCTTACTGTCTCACTCCTTCTGCATTTTTTTAGATTATGTCCTCCAGATTTTAACTCTTTGGGAGTGAGAAACAAATACCAACAGCAACCGACACCTCCTTTGGGTACTTTGGATAACTACCCTTGTCACAACTTTTCAATGCTTTGGTTTTTCTTCAGCAGAATATATCTCCATGGTTCTGTAAATTTACCACTGGACGCCTGTTTTTGACATTCTTTTCTGTGTCTGCCACTGAATGTCCCGTGCAATATCGAAGACTGCCTGTGGTCATTACTGAGTAATGAATAGGGACTGCAAAGGTCTTCCAGTGCCAAGACAATGCATACTACCCGGAGCGCTGTTTTGTGGGGGAAGGATCCCCTTCCCCATCTTTTCCTTATTCAAATGACATTTTTCCACACAAGACTAGGTGACCCACCGAGTCAGATGGAGCAGGGATGTGTTAGAGCCACTCACACTAGGATGGGTCAAGAAAAGTGTTGAAAGATGCTTTCAGTGAAGAGCTACAAAGGGACCAGTGTAAGGCGTTCTGCCAGAACATTTTAAGGCTTCAGAGAAGCACAACTGGAACATCAAAGAGCGGCATCAGAGATGGCTGTAATAGCCACTTATCAGATTACAGCAAATGCTCTACTAATACGTTGAGAGAAACAGAAACAAGCTACCTCCGCAGTTCTGGGGAACACCCCTGGCAACTGGCAGCTCAGGAATATTGCTATTTCCTTACAGGAAAACGTTTTTGGGAGAAAAGAAAAGAAAACTGCAAGGGAGGTCCCAGTGTTTTCTCCTTGATTTCAGGGCCCCGCAGAGGTGCCGTCCTGCCTTTTCGCAGTGTGGCGAGACATCCCGCACCCCGCCAGGTCCCCGTGCCTTGCCGAGGGCTGCAGCGAGAAGGAAGGGGATCGCCCTCACTGCCGCGTGAAGCAGATGGTGGAGAGCCACAGGCTTACCGTCTTGGCAGA